ATAGATTCTAAGGTCAACCATGTTTCTACTTGGCAGTAATATCCACATCTATTCTATTCGATGGTAGGAAGTAGCGAGAGTAAGACACAAATCTCTACTAAAACCGAGGAACGAGGCTATCGGGGCACGTGGGAATCGCCTCGTCGTAAATCAATCCCTCCGTCAGCGAAACGACTTCAGTGTTTCGTCACTTTTACTTTCGTCCGAGCTCTCTTCCGGTCAGACAGAAATACCTTTCCCCTGAATTACGGCCGGCAGTAAACGATTTACGGTTTCATAAATATACAGAATTATTCGGTTCAATTTAACACTAGATTGCCGGAGTCAATTTAGCTCATTCATGATTTTATTGCTGATGTAGAAAAGCTTAAATAATTTCTTTTAATAATAATAATTATTATAAGACAATAGNTCGAAGTTGATTCTCGATTATAAAAAATTCTGTCATTGTTGCATTTATTTTTTTTAATAAACGAAATCAAAATTTTGCCATTCAATACAAGAATTCAAAATAAGCTAATTATAATATTTTCATAGAACTTGCAAACTTTTCCAGTATTTTATTAATATAATATTTAGTAGTTATTAAAATTTCAATTAATTATAAATTATCTTTATTTCAATTCTCATACAACCATAAACCCTGCCCTTAAAATATACAAAAACTGTGAAAACGTAATGTAAAACATAATTTATCTAACTTAAGTAATTGGAAAGTATTTATAAAACGTAGAATCGGCTGCGTTTAATCAACGGGTGTGAAACAAGTGAAAAAGAGAGGACAGAGGGGGGGATTGTTAGGTGGCGCGTTACTGGCTACGGGTTGCGAATCGTTCGGCGATAACGAAAGGGCAGGGGTCGCGCGCTGCTGTAGGCGAGGGATCGCGGCGACGGAGAAGAAAATTGCTTACCAGGCGTGGGAGGAGGGTCCGCCGGTGGATCCGGGAGTCGAGGCGGTGGTGAATCTAGCAGAGTCAACACGCACAACGCGGTGACCAGCACGGCGACCAGGCCCACTCTGCAGAGTCTTCTGGTCCCAGCGACCGACATATTTGTTGCCTTCGTGCCTGGCGATCGCCACCGTTCGACTTTCGATCACCTCGAGACGCTGCCGAACCGAGCCATGTTCCACCGACAAGCCCGATTTGCAATTCAATTACCGGGGGATTCCTTCCCGTAGAAATTCAAGGGTCAAAGTTCGTGCGGAACGAATGCCGTGGAATAATTACGACGAAAAATCGCGGATCCCTATAGGAACATCGTCGACACTTCTCCTCTCGGTTTCATTCAGAATCACGTCTGACTCGATTTTTTCCAAACGTCGTCGACGACGGGGTGACACGCGTTCATGACAATTGCCGCGGGTTTCACAGTGACGTTGCGTACCGGATCAGGCTTTTCTGGTTCCACCGATGCTGCTTTGCATAACACGCTCTGCTACACTTTCATCGCGCTTAACGCTTCACCTCGCGGGCTTAATGATCGACCGTTGCGTACACACGATCCGCGGAAATCTCGATTTATAGTATACTGTCCCGATTGGTCGCCGAAACTGAAAGTTGCCACATTCTCATCACACGCGATTTTATATGTTCGCTTGAGACGCGATCGTCGACGCCGAGCGACGGAGCTGTCTGTACCCTCAAGCTTTCCGATTGGCGAGTCATCGCGCGTGACTTCTTACGGAACGCTGATGTCTCTCGTCGACGATCAGACGAATCTGTATTGCCGTGTATTGGAAAAATCAGCGTGGAAGCGGGACGACCTCCCACGCGACACAGCCGGCTGTTCGTAGGCCACTGGACCATGTATGGTCGTCATGCCGGCAGAGTGAACCGGAGCAGCTCCCGGGACCGTCGATAATCTAATTAACCTGGTATCTCTGTCGTCTTTAACCGTTTTTTGCCCGGCACCGTTTCTTCTGCATCCCGTCAATCCTGCTCCTCCTGTGCTTTGCTCGCCTTTTTCTCTTCCTGCGATTTTCTTTTACCCCGCCTCCTCCTTCCTCGTTCGTTTCGCACGCGGCGAATCAACAGGTCTGGTCCCAAACGGATCGTTATTGATCGTGTTCGCACGTATTTTCACCTCGTTCACGGATCACGTCGCGTCGTCGTGACCATTCCGAATTCATTCGAAACGGTGAACGCGAAACAAATACTGACGATGAGTTTGCGTTTCGTGCATCGATTCCAACCGTGAGAACCAATCGCAAACGGTAGGTTTAATTAACTTGGCATTAGGAAATGGAAATATTTCATGATCTGATTTCAGTGGATTTTTCCGTTTTCCCTCGCTGGTTTAAAACACGCCGTTTCGTAGCTTAATGACCCGCCGCGGATCTACGTCGATCCGGGCTGGCAAAGTTGCTTTGCGACGTTCATTAAAAACGTAACTCCCATCGCGGACGACCACCCAGTAAAACGCATTCCGTATTCACGGAACTGAATCGGTTTAATGAAACCGTTGGGCGGAGCTCGTGTAACGTTCCACTTTATAAAATTCACTTTTGCTCCTAGCCAACAACCACCGGCTATCGTTCGCATCGCGCGCGATCATCTTTTCAGTTTACGGTGTTAGTAAAGAAGTTAAAACTGATAACTCTTCTTCGTTCCTCACGAGCCATCGTCAACCGGCGTTTAATTATTTTTTTAACACTGAATTATTTTCTCCGTTTGATTCGATTCAGAAATTAACGATTCCTCACTGCAAGTGAACTCGTGTCTTCAGTCACGAACAGCTTAGGTCGTATTTATAATCGCATTCACCGTTTTTTTTACTTTTTATGATCAGTTTTGGTGCTCGGGGTTTGAACGGTCGTGAGGAGGCGCCGAAAACACGTGACTCGGTCACCCGAAACAGAGGCCCGGTTCCCGGTTAAATGTTCGTGGCGCACGTGGTTTGTGGATCGACCGAGCGGATTGGTGCAATCTCGCCTGCGCGAGAGTCCGTAGCGTACTGGGTTCGAGCGGGAGGTGAACGCGCCGCCAGAGCCGGCCAGCTCCGACGGCTTTGGACCCGTTGGCTCGGCGTGCCTGGCCAATGCGCCTTTCCTCGCTCGGCCCGATCCCTCTGCTCTCTCGCCTCGCCTCGGTTCGCGCACGACCTAGCCGACCGGCCGTCGTACCTCTGCTTCGGATACTCTCCTCCGCTGCTGCTGCTGCTGCTGCTGCTGTTGCTCCTCTTCGAGGTCTCGGGATAGTTAGCTGACTTTACCTTGTCGCAGCCTTGCGAACCGCGCCGCGCGTCTACTCCGCTTCTGTTTTCTTTTCATATGCGCTACCGCCCCGCGGCTCCCCAGCACTTTTACTCCCCTTCATCGTTCTTTCGCGTGACCGTGCCCAAGCGTCTAAGTTATTACGTTGCACTGGGCAACGGAGTCTCGATGGTCCACGAGTGAATCTGAACGGGGGGGTAATTGATTAGGGCTGGCAAGGGAGGGGCACTCGGTATTCCAGAAGCATGGATTTCAATTTTTTATTTATACGTACGCGTGCACTTTTATACCTAGTAAATAATACTAATTCTGTTATATAATAATAGGAGTATGTGAA